GCGTGTCGGGAACCTTGGGTGTGACAGGTCCTTGAAGGCATCCCTGAGGGCGCAGTGGTGGATGCCCATCCCTAGAGACAGCTTCTGAGTGACGTGGTCCGAGTACATGGCGAGTCCTACACGCATCGTATCTGATATTCTGTTGGAGAGGATGGAATTACAGGTCTAGGTCATGGATATTTAGATCTGTGAGGTGTTGATTGCTTTGTCATTGTGTATGATAACTATTTCAAGAGGAATCATAAAGAAATTGAAGCCAGAAGTATTCTAGTAAATCCATTGCCATGACCAAAATATTTACTAAAGAGTCAAATCAAACAATCATCCTTTTAACCAAACTGAGCTACAAAAAGTGATGAAAACCCAAATATTTCAGGACACATAAACCAAAACACACATAAAAGAGAAGTGTTATTGGTAAAAACACACAAACCAGCCAGTGCCCAACTAACATGGTGCTCCCTATAGTGTGGATGAGGTTGGCTTGGGCAGCCACAGTATCCGCAGGGGCTTCTGTCGAGGCGTGCAGGAGGAAGATGGTGTCGCACTTGCACTCTCCTTCTGCCAAGACATCACTGAAGGAGGTGGCAATGTCACCTGTAGGAGGAGGAGAGAAGTTAATCACGTGAAATCCTTTGTCTCTCTTTCTAGTAGCAAATAGTAAATATGCAGTTGCATAGACGTTAACTGTATGTAACATCTTTACTGACCAGTGTGAAATAATATAATTTTTAAGGTTTGACAAAAAAAAAAAAAAAAAAAAAAAAAAAAAAAAGGCATGCTTGCTGTTGGATCTGTATACAACCAGCTGCTGCTATATGTATTTCCACTATATATCTATATATAAAGCATGTATATATACATATATACAACAACATATGTGTGTGTGTGTGTATTTATCTATCTATCTATCTTTGTGTGTGTGTGTGTGTGTGTGTGTGTGTGTTGTGTGTGTGTGTGTGTGTGTGTGTGTGTGTGTGTGTGTGTGTGTGTGTGTGTGTATGTGTGTATGTGTGTGTGTGTATCTATTTATCTATCTATGTATTATCTATCTAACTTTGTGTGTGTGTGTGTGTGTGTGTGTGTGTGTGTGTGTGTGTGTGTGTGTGTGTGTGTGTGTGTGTGTGTGTGTGTGTGTGTGTGTGTGTGTGTGTGTGTGTGTATCTATTTATCTATATGTATCCTATCTAACTTTGTGTGTGTGTGTGTGTGTGTGTGTGTGTGTATGTGTGTGTGTGTATGTGTGTGTGTGTGTATGTGTGTGTGTGTATGTGTGTGTGTGTGTGTGTGTGTGTGTGTGTGTGTGTGTGTGTGTGTGTGTGTGTGTGTGTGTGTGTGTGTGTGTGTGTGTGTGTGTGTGTGTGTGTGTGTGTGTGTGTGTGTGTTGCGCACATGTGTGTGTGTGTGTGTGTGTGTGTGTGTGCGCACATGTGTGTGTGTACATATGTGTCTGTGTGCGTGTGCTTGTGAGTGTCTGTACACACACACATACAAGTATAAGACCTGCCCATAAATCAACATCAAAGGCTATTTCCCTCTGAAATGAGAGCCTTATTTGTCAAACAAAATCCAACAGTAAAATAGCACTTACTGAGAATCTCATCAGTGTGAGGCAGTTCACTAGCCGGCAGCCGGATGGTGTCTGGGCTCTCTGTAAAGTAATGGTCCACATGTTGGGTATTGCACGAGGTGAATGTGATATAGGCTAAGAAAATAGGTAATGAGCAAGGAACTATAAAACGATCAGAAAAAAAAAATAGAAAATGGTATTTAAACCTTGGTACAGATTTATCTATCTATTTATGTGTCTATTTTTCTATCTGTTTGCCAGCCATCCAGCCTATCACTTTGTCTATCTATTTATATAAATGTAAATATGGTTCTAGTCACCTCTGAGGTGTGAAATATGATACTTGGACGTGAGATTTCTAGTCTTAATGTAATTTTCTTAGAATTTTTGGATCTTCGGCCACCAGTTAACATCTAACAGCTAGCCTGCTCTGTCTCTCTCTCTAATTGGCTTCTGGGGTCTCTGCCTTCCTTCATTGACTGTCATCCTTATGTAAGCCTTATTTTTTTCTCTTCTACTTATTTCTTTTTTCTTTTCTTTCTTCCTATTCTTTCTCTCTTTCACGTTCTGCTCTTTCTACTCCTCTTTTCTTCTTCTTCCCCATTTTCATCTTTTTCTTTTGCATCTCCTTCTCCTTCCTCAATCTTTATTTTTCCAAGCTCTAGAATGAACAGAGCTCTACTGAACTTATCAAGACCTTGCTTAAGTTTATAAGGAGTTGAGGGGAAAGGGGCCAAGAGAAGGTGGGGAAGGGAAAGGGGAGAGGGAGGGGGAGAAGAGGGATGGGAAGAAAAGGAGGAGAGGGAGATGGAGAGGTAGAAGGGAGGAGATGGAGAGGGGAAAGGGGGAAAGGGAGAATGGGGGAAGGGAGAGAAGTAGGAAGGAAAAGAGGAAGAAGCCACAGGCCAAGAAAACAAAAACATGAAAACAATTACCTCTTTGAGTTGATGAAGTGGAAGAGTGCATTTGCCAACAATAAACTTACCAGATTGGATTAGCAGGAAGAAAGGGAGGATTAAGGGAAAAAGGAAGGATTAAGGGAGGGATTTTGGGAAAGAGAGAGAGGGGGGGAGGGAAGAGGGTGGTAGACTTTCTTCCAACCCACAATAGACCTTGTCAAAGATGGAATAAGTGAAGGGAAGGGCCTGGGGAGAGAGAGGAGGGGAGGGAAGGGGGTCAAGTCCTACCTCTCACCCCACAATAGACCTTGACAAAGTTCTCTTCCTACCTCTCACTCCACACTCCTAAAGCTCTCCTGCCTCACCGCAGAAAAAACTCCACCCACAACAGACCTTAAACCAAGCTCTTCCTAAAACGGACCTTAAATCAAGTTCTTCCATCACTGAAAGACCTATCACCTCAAAAAAAAAAGAGGAAAAAAAACACAGTATACCTTAAATCAAGGTTTTCCACCATAGCAATACCTACCCCCACACCCCCCACACACCCCAAAAATGATAATAATAACCCATAACCCAAGCTCTCCCCCACAGAACTCCCAACCCAAAGCCTCCCCCACCCACCCCCAACAACCCCCTCAAAATAACTCACCCACGATGACCTGGATGTAGCTGGAGTGGACCCCCGCCTCGTTGGACGCCTCGCAGAAGTAGGTCCCTGCATGCTGCTTCTCTATTGTATGGAGGGCCAGGAGGAGCTGCCGGTAGCCCCTGTACGCGTAGCCGAGGGAACCGTGACCCACTGGTGGTTCTGGTGGGGAGAGAGGGTTGAGATGGGGTGATGGTGGGTGGGTGGGTGGAGGAAAGAGGGAAAGAGGAGGAGGAGGGAGGGAGGGGGGAGGGAGGGAGGGAGGGAGGGAGGGAGGGAGGGAGGGAGAGAGAGAGAGGGAGAGGAGGGAGAGGAGAGAGAGGAGAGGAGAGAGAGAGAGAGAGGAGAGAGGGAGAGAGAGAGGAGGGAGAGGAGAGGAGAGAGAGAGAGAGGAGAGAAGAGAGAGAGAAGGAGAGAGAGAGAGAGAGAGAGAGAGAGAGAGAGAGAGAGAGAGAGAGAGAGGAGAGAGAGAGAGAGAGAGAGAGAGAGAGAGAAGAGAGAGAGAGAAGGAGGAAGTAGATGTGGGGGAAGGAGAGAAAGAAGTGAAGGAGGTACGAAGAGTAGAAAGAGAAAAAAAGCGGCGAAGATGGAGAGGAAAGAGTAAGAGGTGAAGGAGAGAGAGCAAAATGAGGAAGAAGTGAAGAAAAGAATGAAGGAGGAAGAGAAAGAGTGGAAGAAGGAGGAGGAAAAGAATAAGAAAGAGGAAAGAAGCAAAAAAAAAAAAAAAATACGCAGAGAAAAGAATACGAAACACACAAAAAGAGTAAAGGAAAATATAAAGTAAAATGTGCAATTTAAATCATCTTAAAGAATAAATGACAGTTAAGCCCTTCTCAGTTTCATGTACAAGATAATAGTAAAAATATATGACTGTAATAATATATATAACGACAAAATCTCGAGGAACAAAAAACCTGAATGTATCTTTTTCTTCAAAATCAAATTTGCGTCTTTCATACACATATACAACCACGCATGCATACATTACAACACAGACACACACACACACACACACACACACACACACACACAACACACACACACACACACACACACATACACACACATATATATATATATTATATAATATATATATATAATATAAATATATATATATTATATATATTAATGTGTATAATTATATGTATAAATATAAAAAAACAAAGAAAAATATACGAATACACACACACATCACCCCCTCCCCTCTCCCACACCCCCACCCCCACACACACTCTACCCCCTCATACACATCATCTCCCCCCTCTCCACCCCCACCCCCCACACACATCACCCCCTCCCCTCTCCACCCCCACACCCCACCCCCCACACATCACCCCCCCTCTCCACCCCCACACACCCCCACATCACCCCCCTCTCACCCCACCCCCACCCCACACACATCACCCCTCTCCACCCCCCCCCCCCCCCCCACCCCCAACCCCACATCACCCCCCCTCTCCACCCCCGACCCCCACCACACATCCCACCCCTCTCACCACCCCCACCACCCCAACCCCCTCTCCACCCCACCCCCCCACACAACACATCACCCCCCCCCCCCAAACACCACATCACCCCCTCTCCACCCCCCCCCACACACACATCACCCCCTCCCCACACACACATCACCCCCCCCCTTCTCCCACACACACATCACCCCTCTCCACCCCCACCCCACCCCACACCACCCCGCTTCACTCCCACCCCCCACCCCACACACACACACATCACCCCCCACCCCACCCCTCTCTCCTCTTCTCTCGACCTACCTTGAGCCAGCGGAAGGAGATGGGGTCGTCGCCCACGTCCAAGGAACATTCGAGAACCACGCCGCTCTGTCCTTCCTTCAGGCGCAGCTCCGTCTGCTCGGTGCTCAGGCGGG